TTTATTGGTTTTTTATTCTTTAAGTTACGATATTCATCTGGAAAACTTTCCATTTGTTTACATTTTATAAAAAATTTCAACGTCAAATTCAATTCATTGACCTCTAGTGGTCCATGTTTATTTATAAATATTCTTTGATGCACATTATTTATAAAACGCTTAACCAAAGTCAGTACTTTTAATAATTTATTTAATGATGAATATTTATTTATTATTCAAAAGGAAAGACTTTTATTTCGTGCAAAACTTTTTAATTAATAAATGCAAAGCGCTTTCGGCTTATTTGCCATCATCAGTGCTTATCTACAAAAATTGTGGATGTAAACTTACAATTTAAAAAAATATGTTATAAAATATGAATAAGACTTTTAAGTCAAAAGTTAAAATTGTATATATACGATTGTTTGAACAAATTAACAATTACAAGAAACAAACAAAGTGACAAAAGACTGGTATTGGGAATAGTGAGTGTGGGATAGGCCCTTACAAATCAAATCTGATCTGATCTCCAGAAGCAAGTTAGCTTGTGTGGAATTAAGGAATTATGCCACCTTCACTATTCACAAAATTGAAAACAAGTTAAAAACTTAGTTAAAATTTAAAGAAATTTACAAATATAGGGTGACTGTGAAAGATATATTGAAATTTGAATCTAAAATACAATATTTAATATGAAGAAAGTTAAACGCAGAAGGCCAAAGTAAAAAAACTGAAGGTTTTTTTTTTATATATTTTATATACATTATAATTATAAAAAAGTCTACCTACTGTCCACAACATGTTTCTCCGAGTGTTCCACACTGAGGTGAACGCACCTCCTTCTCTTGACATTTGACAAATCAACGTCTTCAAGTGTCGCTTGTCACCACTGTCATATGGAAACGGTTAAACAACTTGAATAAAAATGAATAGATAAATTTAAATTTGAAAATATTAATAATACTAAGATTATGATTTAGCAAGTTGTAAATATCCCGAAATATCTAATTTTGGGAGTGAGGATGACCAGGAACTTGTTGGATACGTTGTGGACAGTAGGTAGACTTTTTTATAATTATAATGTATATAAAATATATAAAAAAAAAACCTTCAGTTTTTTTACTTTGGCCTTCTGCGTTTAACTTTCTTCATATTAAATATTGTATTTTAGATCCAAATTTTAATATATCTTCCACAGTCACCCTCTATTTGTAAATTTCATTAAATTTTAACTAATTTTTTAACTTGTTTTCAATTTTGTGAATAGAGAAGGTGGCATAATTCCTTAATTCCACACAAGCTAACTTGCTTCTGGAGATCAGATCAGATTTGATTTGTAAGGGCCTATCCCACACTCACTATTCCCAATACCAGTTTTTTGTCACTTTGTTTGTTTCTTGTAATTGTTAATTTGTTCAAACAATCGTATATATACAATTTTAACTTTTGACTTAAAAGTCTTATTCAGATTTTATAACATATTTTTATATCCACAATTTTTGTAGATAAACACTGATGATGGCAAATAAGCCGAAAGCGCTTTGCATTTATTAATTAAAAAGTTTTGCACGAAATACAAGTCTTTCCTTTTGAATCTAAACTACGTGCACACAGCTGTCAACCTTTTTTGGTTATTTTAATTTATTTATTAAGTCATTTATAAATTCATTGTGTACAACAGCAAAACATGACATACGTTTTTGTTTCGGAATATCATCCAAATCAAGATTCCAAGTTGATTTTTCTTCCTTTAACCAGGTCGGACCATGCCACCACAAATTATTTTCTTTTAGAGCACTTATAGATAATCCGCGTGAAACAAGATCAGCTGGATTATCAGCAGATTTGACATGGTGCCAGAAATTAATATCTGTCAATGTTTGTATTTCACTGACTCGATTGGCAACAAATGTTTTCCATCTACTGGGAGCACCTTTGATCCAAGATAAAGTTATCATAGAATCTGTCCAATAGTAAATACCGCTAAAATTTATTTCTAAAACAGATGTCACTTTCTTAATCAATTGAGCTAATAGAACAGCTCCACAAAGTTCTAGTCTCGGTAAAGTGACACTTTTGATCGGAGCTTCACGAGACTTTGAACATTAACAAAATCGAAACTATCTGTCCTGAAAATGAGAACATCTTATATATACACATGCCCCGTAAGTCCTTTCTAAAGCATCAGCGAAGCAATGTAACTCCACAGCGTAGCTGTCAAAAATAACTTGTCGCGGTATTTCTATGTTTAATAGTTCTTGTAAATCATTCTGAAAATTCATCTATCTATTCACAATAGCCAAAGAAACCTCTTCGTCCCATCCTAGCTTTAACTTCCACAAATCCTGCATTATAAGTTTAGGTATAACAATAGACGCTACTAATTATCCTAAAGGATCAAATATTTGACACGTAACAGACAAAATAACTCTTTTTGTTAGTTTAGACGCAAATTTAAAATCTTTCCATTTATATTGTATAGAATCGGTATTTACCGAAATTAAAATATAAGATACTAAAGAAGCCTTGCATGGTTGGTTCGTGTTTTTTTTTTTTTTAATATATTTCACTGTTTTATATTGATATAAGCATATTTTTTATCTAGTTTATACTATTTTAAATATTTATTTTGAATATTTTTAATACAATATTTAAAATTATTCATTTAAATTAAAAATTATTAATTAGTCATTATAAATTAAACATTTTAAGTTAACTACTTGAAATTAACAACTTCAATTTATTTATTTTAAATTAAATATTTTGTATTAAATATTTTGAATTAAATATTTTAAATTAAATATTTTAAATTAAATATTTTTAATTAAATATTTTATTTTTTTGTGTAGAATTTGCATTAGACTCTTGTCTAGGGTAATAGTTTTAAAATTAAATACTTTAAATTAAATATTTTAGAGTATATATTTTGTATTAAATATTTTAGATTAAATGTTTTGTATTAAACATTTTAAATTGAATATTTTTAAATATATATTTAAAATTAAATATTTTAAATTAGATAATTTAAATTGAATATCTTAAATTCAATACTTCAAATTAAATACTTTAAATTAACAACTTTAAATTAAATACTTTAGTTTTAATTAAATATTTTAAATAAAATATTTTTAATGAAATATCTTATATTAAATATTTTGAATTAAATATTTTAAATTAAAAACAACAACTTAAATTCTTTAAATTAGGGGGGGTTTTCCATCAGTTCATTTGTGCAGTTAAATTTCATAAAAGCACATTATTTAAAAATTACATAATAACATAAAAATATAAATTCAATTTTCATATTTTTATTATTTTCATACATTTTAATCTCAATGTTTTGGTATGCCACTGCGCTCTGGCTGTCGGTGTACTGCTGATTGAGCACCAGAGGTTTCCGCAAATGCCTGTAGTTAAAAGGAGAGGCAATAGATCCGTGAAATAAAGAATGTGCTTAAAACCACACTATATTGTGCATCGCACTGAAAGAAGGCGTGACGTCACAAAGTAGGGCGGGCATAAGAACATTTCCAATCATTTTGATAGAATTAAGAAGAGATACTATGATGATACTAAAAATTTTCGCACTTTTTCATTACACTTTTACGTTATATCTAAAACTCGAGCTAGTCAGTTTTGGTGAGAATCGCCATTTTTTTTTAATAACGTGACTCAAATTATATAAAACCATTTTCAATCCGTCAATCTTTAAATAATAAACTAATAACTTTAATTTAATCAAAATACGACTCAAAGTAAGTCCACTTGTCATATCGCAAAATAGTGTTTATGTCGTCACTACTTCATTCTATCTCGATGTTTAACCGTCAAACTCTAAAAATCCCCATAATACAATTTTAATTGGACATTCCAAACAAAATGGCTGCCAGTGGGTTTTAACAGACAATCTTGTGGCCCTGGTGATTTGACAGGATCAATGATATAGATAGTTATATAGATTGATCATCCATGCTTTCAAAATAAACATAAGCTTATGCCTAGGTAAAAATGTATGTAATTATTTTTTTTTACTATATTCAAAGTCTGAAAATTGGTTTCAAAAGACATTTTTGCGAAACAGGATTCTGATTAATGAGCACTTGCGAGGCAATATGGCCGCTCGCAGAACGATCCGCTTTGAGTATTCTATACAACTCTATATAGCATTGACCCTGTGTTATATTATTATTGATACTGGTCTATAATTGAAAGTGTTTTTGTGTCGTCCTTGTTTAGGTATCGGCTTAATTAAACCTGTTTTTAAACTCCTAGAAATTTACTCTTTAGAAATATTTCATTTATTGAGTAACTAATTTCTTTATAAATTCTTAGTATTTATTTCGACTTTACCTGATGCTTGATTAGTTTTTAGATATTTTGTTACATTTTCAGTTTCCTGTTCATAGGTTGGCAGAAAAAACGCATATAGTTGCTATATTTTTGATTCCAAGTCATATTTGGTTTTCTTTTTTTTTTTGTCAAAGATTTTAACGTACATTAGAAGAATACTCATTTAATTAGTTTGTTACTTCGTTTTCAGTTATTTTTAATAGTGACCGATAAATGTCCATTGAACGTGTTTGATAGAATACTGGACGTTCAAATGATATTAATTTCTGGCTTACATTCGGATATTGCATATCAATGTAATGAACGTTAAACAATGATAAATGACATTGCATTATTTGAGATCATCCGTCCATTTTTTTTTTCGTCTCCTAATAATATCGCAACCTGTCATACATCAATATAATTTTTATTTATAAAATTAAAAAACGCTCGATCTAAATGGGAATCGAACTCACGACTCGTCGTTTAACGTTCGGCACCTTAAGCCTCTCGACCACGGAGATATTTAACAATTTGTCAAGCCTTGTTCAAAATAGAATCGGCGAGCGTGGCGATGCTATAGCGTTGCGTCATAATAAAGCCTTTTTCTACTCTGAACAAGGCTTTACTAGATGCGATTCTGATAGTTAATAAGATTTGAAGCTTTCGCTGGAGGAATAAAATGCAATAGATTCAATTTTTTAATTTTTAATGACCAATTACATTTTGAAAAAAAAAAGAAAGTGTGTATAGGTATTTTCTGGTAAACTAAATAAATAATGACCTAAGATGGATCTCAAAATACTACTAATCATGTACTAAACTTATACTTATGTCCAAAAATGGACGTCCACTGGATATTAAATTAATGTTCATAAACGGATGTATACTGGACGTCCAAATACGGTTGTAAATTAATATAAAATGGACGTTCATTGGAGGACAATGTGTGCTGTCTGGGTAATTTCAGGAATTTCAAAACAAAGATAGAAAATTAAAAAAAAGAAATTGCACGAAGTAGATATAATTTATCACCACTAACCCATGAACCAATGAGTACAGACGTTTCAAATAAATGTTAAGATGTCTTTAAGGGAAGAATATGATAATAAGGTATTTCAGAAGTGAGAATTATATTATCTTTTAAAACTGATTAATGTAGTACAACTCTTTAAGGTATACTCTATGATAATTTTTGGTTTTTTTTTGTTAAACTGTATTTGGGGCTTCATATTTTGTACTTTGACTATCCAATTAGTAAATAAATAATATAAATGTCTAGAAATTTGTAAAAAATTATTGAACATGTAAATCGATTATCTAAAGGCATTTCTAAAATCGTTAATATATTGTGTAGATATTGCAATACTGAAACAAATTATAAAAAAAATTAGATAACATGATTGTGGCTCGCTCGCTAAGAAATTGGTGCATTACTTATTATACCTATATTAAATTAAAGAACCATCTATTTCTAGTAAAAAGTTTCTATTAGATAACTAGTATTCCACATTCCTTACTTTATTCTAGGTTCTTATCTAAGTATGATGTAAATGTGTGAAGATATCACGTGTAACCGTTGTAAATCACAGAAAGGCACCAGTAGATAAAAAGTGAGCATTGGGACGGATGAATCGGTTAACTCCTGCTTTCATACGGTTGTTTCCCGATCCACATGAATATATTCTACAGGAGGAACCTTATGTCAGGAATTTAAACTACCAGTGTCTAATAATTTAGGACCAGTCAACAGTTTCTTCTTAGCTAGTCGTCGTCGGTGACGAGCGCGCGATCGGTGCAGTATTAAGCACACTAAAATAATGATTGAAGATATCACAGCGGTCGCTGCAGCTAAAGCAGATAGTGGCAGGGAATTTAGTAATTTTGATGTGGCGCCACAATGTGCCTCCGACTCGTCGAAACCCGACGGGCAGTGATCCTTCCCGTCGCACCAAAGAGATGAGCTGATGCAAGCGTCCAGCTCTGGGCACTTATGGGCGCATTCAAGATCTGTTTCGTTCCCGCTAGCATTCACTGGTACCTGTAATTGGTGCAGCAAGGACGATCTGGGTCTAGATATCTCCAGCCAACTAAATGCAGCTACTCCGGGCTCAATTCCTATCCATTCTATCATAAAATTTGGCGGTCTTTGCGATATTGCTGCTTGTGCCTCTCCCCACCATTCCTCGCTAAACACATGCACTGCTAATGGTCTAGTACCTGGTTCTGCTGGACACACAACCCTTATCAATTTCGGTGGTCGTCCAGAGTATATCATAACTCTGTTATTAGACGGGCATCTAGTTGTCTCATCCAAACGAGGCTTTAGCGGTAAGAATGCACCCCAGCTTAGCAAAAATAAGCTTCTGTTATACCTCGATTCTACAACCCATGGTAATCCAGCACACAACGTATCATCGTCTTTTTTGGGAGGCGAATAAAAGTGTACGTCCCCTCCGTATGTACTCAATCTTTGATTCCTCGGGCAATCAGTCATTTTAATCAGTTCGAACAAAACGTGGAAATGTATTACAGTAAAATCTTCGGTTATGTTCATATCTTTGGCAGTAAATTGGAGTTCTACAACCCTAGAGGCAGAAACGAATACTAATGGTTTACTCGATAAAGTTAGGTTATCACAGATACAGGTCTTTTGTATTCTATAATCTTCCCATGGCCGTTCAAATATGTTTAATTCAGCTAAACGGCTTCCAGCATAAAATTCGCATATCTGTCTACCTGTATGAGGATCGATCACGGTATCGCAACTCGGATTAATTCCAAAAGATGCGTTATATAAAGTTAAACGTATTCTTTCGCCATTTTCAGCTTCGAATCTGTAAACGCAATCTAAATCTTTTGCACCCCCTCTACCGTAAAGAAAAACATTGTTTGGAGAAATTACGTCTCCGACATGTTGTTTTCTAAACACTCTATGACACACTCCGCCTTCGTATTTCTTCGACCAAGGCTCCCCTCCCAACTTAGTGTCCACAAACTCGTACATAAGTTTGAAATACGCAGGATGTAACGCTGTGCCATCTTCAGTATAATGATGAATAACTAAACTTCTGTCGATTGTCAAGTAACTCTCCACTTTGCTGCATGGCCTCGTAACCCTTGACGTATTACTTAAAGCACTATGATCGCACAACCGTGGAGATTCATCACACTTATCTTCTATCAAACTTGTTCCATCCCAAATTCTAATTCGTGTTGAGCAACCATAACTAGCAGTATCATTTCTAATTAGTGTTTGTGTATTATCACCTACCAATAAAGCTTTGTGACTATAAGAAATAAAAGATATCCAAATTAAATCATCGGGATAACCGAAAAATTTATATACACATGTCGAATTTGGAGGCAGAGAATGTTTAGGACTAACTAATCTTCCTCGTCTGCCACTTCCAGTCCAAATTTCGTCGCTATCAGGACTGGTCGCGTTTACATAAAACATACAATCTGTATTCTGACGCGAAAAATCTAATGAATCAGAATCCACAAAAATTACTTCTACATCTAATTCAAATCCTCTCAATGGTGATTGGGAAGATGGCGAGTGCAAAGGTATACTAAATGGTGATGAATGAAATGCAACCAGCATTTCTGGCCCTCGGGAAACGACTCTTGGTAACCAATCTCCTCCACAATATTTAGCTAAAACTGCGTCATTTGTTGAACCTCCATCGTAAAATATCAAATGGTCTCTTTCTCCAGTACAATCTCTCCAAGCCCTTAATATTCTTTCTGTTTTATTCAGCCCAGCTACATTTATTGATCTTTTCATCTGCATTTTATGAACGGCTTCTTGCCTTACGGAGATCATTGCGTGCTTACAAGTTGGTACGAATTTTTGTCGTAGGCTCCAGTAGCAAGATACGTTTCTAGGGTACATTCCGGGATAGTTCGGAGACTGCAACCTACATGGCTTTCTATAACACTCTTCGAACTGTCTTGTACAATACGTACCAGGAGCAATTTGTCCCCGTTCTATAGGCGCTCCTGGCAAACCAAAACGAACTATAGCTTCTTTTTTAGAAAAAAATCTATATCTAAGCTGAAAGGCAAACGATGCGTCAGTCAAACCGAATAATTTTACCGATGCAGTCACCGTTGAGGTTTCACTGTAATAGGCAGCGGGTCCTGATGATGTGCCGCACCAGGAACCTCCTGTAAATGGACGACCTAATTCACTCAGTTGCATGTATCCATCTGGGCAACCGTCCAGGGCAGAAGCTTCGTATCGGCCTACTTTAAATTCATCGAAAATTAACTGAAACCAAAACAACGAATTATTGTTGGTACCTAAAATATTTGCATACTATTAATCATGTAGTCTAGTTAAAAGTGGTATCAATTTAACCAAAGGCTTATTATTAAATAACTGTTCCTATTCTTTCCATTAACTAACAATGGTATTATCTTAAAATTAAGAAAAGTGATCAGTACTTAGGTCTTAAGTCTCATTAAGCTCATTGTGCGTAATCCAGAGTAGCGTAGCAAGTGAGGTACGGGCGCAAAATTTAAACATATTTTTCAACGTTCACTTAAATGTAGGTATATACGACAGGACATTCAATTGACAGGTGACTTGACATATGACATGACAGGTGACATGACACTTGATATGACAGGTGATATGACTGGTGATATGACAGGAGACATGGCAGGTAACATAACGGATGGTTGACCTTCTACGATAACAAAATTAATTAAGAACATAAAGGAATTGGTATCATGGTGACAATGGTTAACATAATGGATGGTCCTCCGACAATATGATGTGGTGAGGAACTGAGGGCATGGCCAAATGGGCACCATTATTTGAGTTAACAGATGACGTACTAAAAACAATTAATGAATATCGCTAAAGAACGATTTTGGTAAATTACAGTTATCTTTAAGTTAAATTTGTTATTTTAGTATAAACTGCACAGATGTCGTTAGCAGAAAAAGTCTGTTTATTTTTGTAACAAAAATATGTTGGGTTTTTGAAAGGGTCCATTGTGTCGTTGGTCATTCGTTAGTCTTTAGTTGTAATCATTTAATATCCATTAGTTATTTTTCGTTGTAATGTTTTATGTTATATTGTACTTAGGAAAGAGTTAAGAAACAAAAGGAAGTGTTTTATTTAATCGAGGAGGAATATTATTAATAAGGAAAAACAAAAGGTTATGAGCCCAGAGCATCCCAGGAAGGAAAATTGAATTAGTAAAAAGTATTAGACACAAAAGAAAGTACAATTCAAAATGGCGACAAATTTTACAAGCATTAAAAATAGCTTCAATGTAGAACTTTTAAACAACAATAATTATCATACATGGAAATTCAGGATGAATACTTTGGAAGAAAAAGAAGTAATTAAGTGTATAAAAAAGGAGTTTAACGAATCAGATTATGAAAATGCTGCGAAGATAACTGAAGCTAAGAAACATGAAAACAAGTGTAAGTCGATCATAGTACAGTGCTTGGATGATACACAAATTGATTTAATAAGTGATAAAAATTCAGCATATAGTATGTGGAAAAGTTTAGGAGAACCCAGGACATCCCAGGACAGTTAGTATTAAGAAGAAAATTAATGTCAATGAAACATGGAGAAACTGATAATTTAGAGACATTTCTAGCAAAGTTTGATGAAATAATAAGACAATTGAAAGATGTCGGTGCTGATCTGAAGGATGAAGATATAGTCTGTAATTTATTACTGGCAATGCCAAGGTCATTTGAAACTGTAATAGCTATATTAGAAAATATTCCCCCTGAAGATTTCAAATTAAGGTCTGAAGTAGAGAGAAGAAATGCCGTAACTGGAAGAAGTTATGTAAAAAATGAAACTAGAGATAATGTGAAAATGGCGAAAATAATAATGGACCTGACAACAAAGACAGGAGGATGACAATATGGAAACTAGCGTAGAGGCTAATAAGGAAACTATGGAGGCAACAGAAATTGCACAAGATATTGCAGCATTTGCACAAATTATGGAAGATGCCTAAGGGACAATAAAAACCATAGAAAACCTAGAAACAGAACAGTCCTCCTCCGAACAAGTAGCTTAGTTCTCTTTAAAAAATGAAACTAGAGATAATATGAAGCCAGCTGCTTTTTCGTCCACTAGAACAGAAGGTTGTAACATGTTATTCATGTGGAGAAAAAGGCCATTATAAGAAAGATTGCAAAAAATCATTTCAAAGTTACAGAGGTGGATTTCAGACAAGAGGAAGAGGTCAAAGAGGATATGGAGGCTACTGTAGAGGCAACAGAGGCTACTCTAGAGGTTACAGAGGTTATCAAAGAGGAAATGAAGATAGAAGTACATTTAATATTTCAAGAAAAAGCAACCATGTAGAAAGTGAGAATTCAAATGAAAATGAAGAAGCTGTATGTTTCCTTGGTGAACAGGATGAAGTAGGAACAAAAGAAGAAATAGAAAATATTATAACCTTTTTTATTGATTCAGGATGTACTGACCACATGGTAAATAAGAAACATTATTTTAATGAGTTGCAAATGTTAGATAAACCTTTAAAAATAGTAGTTGCCAAAAGCGGAAATTTCCTATTAGCCACAGGAGTAGGAAATATAAATGTTAAAAGCAAGGTAGGTGATATATATGAAATTTGTATTATTAAATAGTATATTACATTACGAGTGTGGAAAGTGACATTTTTCACACGAGTGGGAAATATAGTCGCACGAGGCGCAAGCCGAGTGCGACTATCACACGAGTGTGGAAAATCACTTTTCACACAAGTGATGTACAATATTTTTCCTACGACCACAAAATAATGTCATCAAAAAAATGTAAAACCAAGGTTATTATTACTATAATAATTAAAATGTATTTAAAAAAATAATCAACAATAATCGTATTTATTCAATTTTCATATTTTCCAAACAAAAAAAACTAAAAAAAATAAAAAAAAAATAAAAAAAAATAAAAAAAAACAAAAAAAAAATTCTGCCCCGACAGGATTTGAACCATAGATTGAACGCGGTCGAAAAATGGCAAAATTGATAAGTTCGACGTCCTAACCAGCTGAGCTAACAGCCCTTGTGTCAATTGAATGATCTAATCGGTTATGTATTTAACCAAAATAAAGAGCAAACATTATTTTAAAATTATTTTAATAATAATTGTTAAAGATAAATATCTAGGATCTAATTTACAACAATTTCAATAATTTAACAATCATATCGATTTTAGTATTAATATGGATATTACATAGATCAAAATAGAAATTAGCTTACAAAATAATATCAAAAAAATGTAAAACCAAGGTTATTATTACTATATTAATTAAAATGTATTTAAAAAAATAATCAACAATAATCGTATTTATTCAATTTTCATATTTTCTAAACAAAAAAAAAAACTAATAAAAAATAAAAAAAAAACAAAAAAAAAATTCGGCTCCGCCAGGATTTGAACCATAGATTGAACGCGGTCAAAAAATGGCAAAGTTGATAAGTTCGACGTCTAAACCAACTGAGCTAATGGGCCTTACGTCAATTGAATGATCTAATCGGTTATGTATTTACCCAAATTAAAGAGCAAACATAATCTTAGTTATTTTAAAATTATTTTAATAATAATTGTTAAAGATAAATATCTAGGATCTAATTTAAAACAATTTCAATAATTTAACAATCATATCGATTTTAGTATTAATATGGACATTACATAGATCAAAATAGAAATTAGGCGTTTGACATTTTTTGACAACTACTGCGGAAAGTAACATATTCTCACTTGGGTGGAAAGTAAATTCTTAGTCATACGCGTGTGATATAGGACACTTTCCATAGGACTATATAGTGTGATATGTGTCACTTTCCTAAGTGGTCGTAGGAAAAATGTTTTTTATGTAGAGGATTTCTGAAAGAATCTTTAGTCAGTTAAAAGATTAGAAATGTCTGGATTATCAATAATTTTTGAAAATAGTTATGTAAATTTAAAAAGGGAGTAATAGGTTAATTGGTATAGGAAAAAGGAACAATTTATATGAAATTTCATTTATCATTCAATCACATACAAGTTCTGAATCTTTATTTACTCAAAATTCTGATAATGATTTTATAGATTGGCATAAAAGATATGGACATATAGGTTTTACTGGTTTAGAAAAATTAATTAATAATAGGATTATTGAAGGTATTGAGAAAAGTATACAAGGAATATAATTTTGTGACTTGTGTAAGCGGGAAAATGACACGATTTTCTTTTGGAAATAGAACTAAGAGTCAAAGAATTTTAGAAATCATTCACTCTGATGTGTGTGGTCCTATAATACCAGAAACCCATGATGGCTATAACTATTTTGTAACGTTCATTGATTATTTTTCAAATTTTTCTGTTTGTTTGATAAAACAAAAATGTGAGGTGTAAGAAAAGTTGGATGGAGGTGAATATACCTCTAATAAGTTCAGAGAATTTTATAAAGACGAAGGAATTTTAATAGATTATACTACAACCGATACACCTCAACAAAACGGCAAGTCCGAAAGAATGAATCGGAGCTGGTTGAAAGAGCTAGGGCTATTTTAGATGATTCAGGGGTTCCAAAAATGTTTTGGGGCGAAGCAATTTTAACTGTTAATTATCTTATGAATCGGGGAGTAGCTGCTAGTTTAAATGGTGTTACTCCAACGGAAATCTGGTAGAAGAAAAAACCAAATAAACAATTTTTGGGTGTATGGCTTATAGTCATGTGAACAAAGAATTTAGGGATAAATTTGATTTAAAAACTGAAAAATATATTATGATAGGTTATGCACCTATAGATTATAGGCTTTGCAATTCAGAAAAACAAAGAATTATAATTTCAAGAGATGTTAAGTTCAATGAGAATAAATTTTGGTTTAAAAATGAAAGGGTAGAGATACATCAAATGAAAAATGAAAATGAACAAAATCAAAATAAAATGGATGGTGTAAATATTCATGAAAATAAAAAAGAAAATTAGGATTCAGAAATTGGTAAATTAGATGACAGGGAAAATCAGAATAATGTAAGATCAAATAAACGAAATATAAAAGTTCCTTCTAGATTTGAAGATTATTAGATATATATGGCATTTTATGCAGAATGTTTTGTTCAAAATGTTCCAAGAGATTTTAATGAAATAAAAGATAGAGATGATAGGGAATTTTGGGTTGATGCCATGGATAGGGAGTTAAAATCAATAAGTGAAAATGAGACGTGGAAACAAGTAGATATACCAGATAATGTAAATATACTAGATACTAAGTGGGTTTATACATACAAATCTTTAGAAAATCTGCAAAGAGATAGATATAAATCAAGATTGGTTGTAAGGGGTTTTAGGCAAGAAAAGGAAAGGGATTTTGATGACATTTACCTACCTGTAGCAAAAATGACCACTATAAGAACCTTGTTAGGTTATAAATTTCAGCAACTGGATGTAAAAACTGCACTCCTAAATGGAACTTTAGAGGAGAATGTATATATCTATCCACCACAGATATTTAAATTAAATAAGTCTTTATATGGACTCAAGCCGTAATCCAAATGTTGGAATGAAAAAACTAATAAATAAATGAATTTTGTTAGATCTGATAATGGTTATTGCCTTTACATACTAGATTATAAGTTGTATAAATGTCTTTTTCTACGCCCATGTCAGTAAACGTTAAAAATCGCACTATCAACACTCCTTGTAAATCACATTTAACAATAACATGCACGTAATGAAATCTCATAACATACACGTGCGTTTTGATAGGAAAACTTAAATTTCTTGGTTTAATCAAATTGCAATCAAATTTTTGTCTACGTACGACTTTATTTGATCTATTTACATAAATTTAGTCATTTAGAAAACATAAAAACTTAGCATTAGCGAGATATATTTTGAAGTAAAAGCGTGATGCCCCTAAATGTCAAAAAATATGTCGCATTTTCTTAGCATGCTATAACAATAAACATCATGCCATTTATATTGTAAATTTTTGTAACAAAATATGATTGTATCCCAACATTTTCTTAACTTTACCTACGAATATGTTTGTAAGCAGTAAAAGTGATAAAATTATAAGTACTCCACCGGATATTTTAGAAAAAGTTCAAGCTGCCACACATAATTTGTTACCGCTAAAATCCAAAGAAAGGTATAAAATAACCTATAGAAAATGTATGGATATGCGTCACAAACATAACGTTAAATCCTTTTTTGAAAATGTTTTAAGTGGACGTAGAAAAAGTATAGACGTTACACGAGTTGTAACCTCATTACGCACTCGTAAACTTTTTCTCTTTGTGCCTAATGAGTTACCTACAACTCTTGTTATGTAATATACTATTAACAATGCTATTACTAATCATTTTATCTTTATATATTACATGTTCATGATTTTTTTCATTAAATATCGTTTACTCCTTATGAATACGACCAATACCAAAGAAATTAGACCAAAAAAATTAGACCTAATATCGTTTTGACGCTACTACTGCGCATATTTTGTCGTTATTTAAATAACATCTATGTCATTTTTGATTGAATTTAATTCACGCTGTACGAATTCATTCAATATTACCGACCTAGTGTTCTTTTGGAAGATGTCTGTCATGCTACCTGTCAACTCAAAAAGATACTAATTCCCTTGTGTCCCAATTCCTTACTGCTTCGTATTGTCGTTGAGGACCATCTATTATATTAAATAATGTCAATAGTAATACCAATTCCTCCATGCTCCGAATTCCTTATTTTGTTATCGTAGAAGGTCAACCATCCGCCATGTCACCTGTCGTGTCACCTGTCAGTTGAATGTTCCCCGGATACCTACGTTCACATAAACACATGTCGTTGAAAATTTGAGGTTATGTACAAATTTTGTGTCCGTAGCCCCCTTGCTGCACTACTATCAAGTGCCAGATTCAACCAACCGGTCTCTGTTTGAATCTAATACATTAATATTTTGCACTTTTTTAGTTTTTCTAGAATGATTCACTAGTAACTCAGTAACAAACTGTTATTATTTCAAGTTCGATATTAATTATTTAAAGTTAAGTATTCAAAAGCTTCATGAAGCAAATAAAGAAGTCGAAGGTTAAGCTAAAGCAACTGAGCACTCATAAATGTTATAAACGAAAACACTATCTAAGCTTGAACATAGATAAAAATAAAACAAAATTAAGATATACAAGCAAATGCTGTGAGAATTAAAAAAACTTTCAGTAATTTAAGAAGTTCTGCGAATATTTATGATCCATTAAAAAATATCGCTACATACTGTTATTTGAAGCCACTAATCAAAGAAACGAAGAAGTATACGTTCAATCAGGTAAAAATGTACTGATGCAATATGAGAAAATAACAAGAAGCAGTTGTAATTCGAAACGAAAATCGCAATAAGCACATAACTGGTCTCACGGATGGGAATCGCACTGGTCGATATGTATCTAGTGGTTTTAGTTTGTAAAGAATTCATATAATACTATCCTATATTTTTACCTGGATTATATCTCCATGATTTTGTCCGTTGGCAGTGAAGGTCAAGTGGCATAAGAAAGGATATCGTGCATCTGGTTGCTTCAAAACTCTTAGAGCGTACGTTTTCCCCACATCTCCATAATAAGTTCGATTACAGACTAAAACAAAAAAAAATGTTAAAATCTATTTAATTTATAATAATATTTAGTGAGTGTATACCAAAGAATATACAAGTAGAACACATCATTAAAACAACACATACAAGTAGCTAAAAATATTCTCAATAAGCAGAAACCAAAAAATCGGTCGTTCTATTTATTTTAATATTTAATAAAAATTAATAATAATAATTAATAAAATTGTTTATTTATTCCGTTTTAATTAAAAATGTTCTAGAATTAATATTATTAATTATAATACTCTCCCTATAATTTGATTCCCTTAAGAGTACATTTTAAATGATGATGCCGACTGAGCTTGTGCTTGGTGTCACCGGCATCAACTACTATGGTTATTAGCCTCGTGTTCTGTGTAGGTTTTGTTACTGTTTCCCAGCACCACTTTAGGAACAGCACTGTTAATAAGAACCCAACAGTGAATAATCGAGTGGGGAATCCTACCAAGACATCAGAATTATTTGGAGTGAGGGTAGCCATATGTGAGTAGTAGGGATTAAGTGTAAGGGTTAAAGAAAAGGTCCTTTATTTCTCACAAGTCAATTTAATTGGCGACCGGTTTCGAAGTTGTCACTTCATCATCAGGCACACCTAAATGGAATGTCAAGGAGTCAGTTGTAATAAAAACAAAAGAAAATGTAAACATGTCTCTGGAGAAATGTTTCATTTTAATTTTGATACATTTTAATAAAATTAAAGCCGATCCTCCACATTTCAAATTAGAAAATTAAAAATCTGTTAAAAATAGGGTGTTTTATATCCACTGTTGACATAACGTCTATTATATGGTACCTATTTTCAAAACAAAAAATATACATAATTAAAAATTAAATTTGTAGATTGTATTTATGAATATAATGCAATGCTAATGGGCCTTTCAACAGCACCTTTTTGTTTTCACAAATATATTAAAGTCAGTTTTTAATACCTTTCGATTAAATGGTAATTGTTGCATAATCTATTTAGATAATAGTCTAGTGGTAGAAAAAATAAACAACGAACATAATAATGTTAAACATATTATGTTGGAAAAATTAACCCCTTCGAATGTTTGTGGATACCTTAGCTTTATGTATAATAGTAAGAATCTCTGCTTATAACGTACCTAACAGGGAAATTTACTTAAAGTTTCTAAATTACAAAATAAAAAAATAGAATTATACATTCGATAATTTTCAAAAAGGATTAGAATACTTGTTGCTGCATGTCCTGCTGTTAATTATGGTTGGGTTTATATTAAACATATGAAACGTGTAAAGTATTTACTTCTTAAAAATTTGTATTCGTATGATGCTAGAATACTAATTTTTGAATGATTAAAATACGACAAACTGGGAGAAAAGTAATATTTTAACAGCTACAGATAATACTTATAATCAAGAAATTAACATGGTTATTTTGACTAATACTTACAAAAACAGGGGACTGTGAGCGAAAACAATTCTACCCTTTTGTTGTTGGGATGAAATACTAAAAAATTCTCATATAAATTATCTTGAACTACTAACAGTATTTCATACACTAAAGTGTTTTGCTTTCGAAAAGTCCAATATTATTGTCGTATTTTACTTCACATTGATAATAACACAGCGATTGCATCTATTAAAAGAATGGGGGCAGAGACAACAGAGACGTGTAACTTAATAGGAAAATGTGTTTGGTGGTCCATTTAAATTACATATATGACTTTCTTATTCTTTTACATTGAGCTTTACATATACTTATCTCTCTCCAATAAAACTAACACCAATCTAAGAGGTCGCTGATGTTGCTGGTTTTTTGACGTCGACGTATCGATTAAAACTGACAACAGTGACAAGTGACAATGTTATGAATGTTGTTATGAACGTGTGCATTTTATTAAAATTAATTTAATTTGGGCCCCGTTTATTTCTTTGAGTCTGATTTTGTTGTATAATTAATTTTCTTTGGGAGGAATGTTTATTTTTGCATATTATTTTTTGCATGAAGCAATTTCTGGAACCAAACTCGCGTTTTTGTACACATTTCTTTCTAGAAGAAAGTAATTTCCAATTTATTAAGAAAACCACTATATACTTTGTGTGTTTAATAATATATTACAAAATGGCTATAATTATTTTAGGTGAATTGGAACAGAGATCCATTGTTACAGCTACTTTTCTTCATTAAGTAGGTAGATGAATGTCTGGACAGCTTTAATGGCAGCACAAAGTTCCTACCTACTAGAAAAGTAAAATGTATGTGGAGTAAAAAATCTGCACATGTAGTATTGGCAAAGGACTTTTGAAACGATTAGAGATTGGCTATTTCTTACATACACCTACCTCTAATAGCCACTCTAAACGAAAAAAAAAAAATTGAATCACGAAAGGGCAGAATTTTAAATCAGGATGCATTGGAAAATAAATTTGGGGACATCAGGTCGATTTTGGATTTTAGAGAGAGATCAGTCTCAAGAAAAGTTAGTTTATACTGCAGAACAACCGGTAGTTTAAGTAGGATTTGCTATAACTTTATAAGAAAATTTCCTTGATAATAAATTGTAATATACCAATTTTTTCAAATGAAATTGAAAAAGAGTTAAATTCGAAATTAGATTTTTCATAGGTAAAATGTTATATTCATTCAAACATTGTAAGGTAATCTATAATGAAGGGAATATGGAAAATAGAAATACCCTGGTGGTGTAAGAGACAGGTAAGGGGCAATGACAAAAAAATTACAAAAATGTATTCATCTTTAAATAGTGTTTATTATTAATATTATTATTTGCTGCAGAACAGATCGAATAGATTAGACGACTAGTTGAAGAAGGTCCACGTAGTAACCAAATTATAGAGACTAGGAAAACTTTTACATGGCTAGGGACACAACAAAAATGCACATACAGAAGATACACAAACAAACGAAATAACAGGGGTAAGCCTTCAGCAATGTCCTGTTTAAATGATGATAGTATGTCATCCTTCATTCCCTTTTAGAAGGCATGGCATATAAATCTATTGATCTTGATGACCCTAAGAGGAGTTAGCAGGAGGTGTACGGAATGGGTCTAGCAGGTTTCGATTCAGTTTACAGGATGGGAACTTACTCGACTCAGGCCTTACATTTTTGTTGAGTGTATGTGTGTATTTGTTTCGTTTCCACGGTTTCTATTAAAATAAAAAGTCATAACATATCGGTACCTTTTTGCCATACTAACGTAAGCAACATTTGTTCAACTGGCACTTATGATAGTCTGGCAAAAAGGTATTGATATACTCTATACTTTATAAAATATTTGTTACATTAGTTTTTAAATATTATATGAATATATAACAACTGTTACTTTCTTTGTGCTTTGTCACAAAATGATATGAGGTATTTTCTAAACGTAGCAATTGTAGTTTGTTTTTCTGTACCTTACAAAAATATAATTTATAGAAAAAGAGTTTGGTGTTTAAATATTTAATAATCAATAGAATTTTCAAGTTTTTTTTAGCGAAATTTACAAGAGTAACAAAAACTATGTTCACTGCTTATATTAAACTGATTAAAACTTCCTTTATTAAAATGATTATTTATATGATAAAAAATTTGATGTTATTGGAAGCTTTTATATTTTTTAATATACAGTGAAACAATAGTTTTTGTTTCTCCTGTAAATTTGTATAGAAAAACTATTTATTTCTGAATCCATGTTTGAATTTCCCGCCCTAAAGCATTTTTAATTTTCCCGCTATTTACTAGTGGCGCCATCATAGACTGGTTGTGGTTACAATCGCCCAAATAATTTTTACCGAACGAAAAAAATACATTGAGTTACACGTCTCGCTGGATTGTCTCTGATGGGGGTATATGATTTCATAAATTACTCTCTTTATATCGCTCAAGTCCAAATATAATTAGGCGACTCATTTTTGTTTTGCTTAATGGGCTGATTAACGTAGATACAGTTAACTTAATAGCAAATATACAACTAACACACATCGATATAGTTATATTTTGTAATCAAAGAGTTAAATATGTATAAAGCAGATGTTGAAAAAATGTTATTTTCTTCCTTAACGATTTATTTTTAAATGGAGCATCATTCCCCACGTTAAATTCACATAGCCTGTTCCTTATCTTAAACTATTCAAACGGGAACCAAATTTTAATTAACCGTTTTCTTTAAGAAATCTTTATATTTGAACCAAACTTTCCTAAAAACAGGGTGTCCCATTAGTGCGTTCAATGTTTCAATTTGTGTTAAAGACATGCAAACTAGTTTTAAATAAAAGTTATATGGACTTGAAAAATACATATTTTAAAAATATTTTTGTATATACAGGGTATTGCGTTTTTGCCTGGCAAATAAAAATGTATGTTTTTTAAATAGAACACACAGTATTTTATTTTATTTTTAGAATACTTTGGTTATTCTGTATTCAACCCCAGAATGTTTTTAAAAATATTACAGTGTTGCCAAGCATTTTTTTTTAATTAGAGAATTATGCAGACCCCAAATTAAATTATCATAATTTAGGTAGGTTTACATTGATTTCAAAATGCAATTGTATAATATACAGAGTTATAAGATATTAAGCTAACGAATAGTGGTGAAAGAACTGGTTTATTTTAGTGTTTTGAAACATGTCTTAAATATGGCTAATTTTAAGTTCACTTTACTGAATTTTATTCAGATGTAACACCCTGTAAATTATTTTAACATAAAATTCATTATAAATTTGCCTATACAACGATATTAATATGTTAGCCAATAACACATATACAGGATGTCCCATCAGTGCGTAATTGATCGATAGCTGTTTTATCATTAGAAATACGAATAATTTTTTAATATAAAAGTTGTATGACCATATTTAATAATTATTCTTAAATATACAGAGTGGTCTAGAAACGACGTGCTGCCCAAATCTATACTTTTTTAAGCAAAACACATCATTTATTACATCGTCAAACAATTTTATTTGACTCCATTTATTTGCTATCTTGTATATAGGATGTGTCAAAACGCG